TTGAACCACGACACGACCCTGACACGCCTCTGACACGCCCCCGCCACGCCCCCAGCAGGTAGATGCTTCATGGACAGACACACCCCTGACACGCCCCCGCCATGCCCCTGACACGCCCCCCCGGCTGAAGGCATGAAAGCACAAGCCTCACACACCCCCCAGGCTAAAGGCATCCTCGAACACCGACACGCCCCTGACACGCCCCCGCCACACCCGCAGAAGTTAGATGGTTTGTAGCCAGACACACCCCTGACACGCCCCCGACACGCCCCCGCCAGGCCCCCAGACTCAAGGCATCGGCGAACCACAACCCTGACACGCTCCTGCCATGCTCCCTCGCACCCCCAGGTTAAAGGCATTCTTGAACCATGACACGACCCTGACACGCCTCTGACACGCCCCCGCCACGCCCCCAGCAGGTAGATGCTTCATGGACAGACACACCCCTGACACGCCCCCGCCATGCCCCTGACACGCCCCCAGGCTGAAGGCATGAAAGCACAAGCCTCACACACCCCCAGGCCAAAGGCATCCTCGAACAACGACACGCCCCTGATACGCCTCTGACACGCCCCCGCCACACCCCCAGAAGTTAGATGGTCTGTAGACAGACACGCCCCTGACACGCCCCCGCCACACCCCCAGACTAAAGGCATCGGCGAACCACAGCCCTGAGACGCTCCTGCCATGCCCCCTCACATCTCCAGGTTAAAGGCATTCTTTACGACGACACGACCCCCCCCCCCCCATGCTAAGGGCATCCTCGAACCATAACCCTTATACGCCCCCCCACACACCCCGCCCCCCCAGACTAAAGGCATCATCAAACCACAAGCCTGACAGACACCCCCCCACCCGCTGTGCCCCTGACATACCCCGGCGCCCTGCCCCCAGGTTCAAGGTATCACTGAATCACGAGCCTGACCTGCCCCCACCACACACCCTTAGGCTTGTAGCAGCCTCGAAACTACCCCGCATAGCCTTGAGACCCCCCTCCACCTCCGCCCGCCATGGCCCTTATATGCCCTCATAGGGGCTAGGCAGCCTCGAAACATGCACCCGCTGTATCCCTGATGCCCCCCCCCATGTGCTTGCATTAGCTCTGATACATGCCCCCGTACACTGAGGACCCTCCCCCCAAAACACCCTGGGTGTCCTCATGTCAGAACCCACTTCCATCCATCCCCTCCCCATGTGTGGGCTGACTGTCTGCTCTTATCTGTACCCCTGTGCCCAATGCTCCCTCTCTGCTCTGCGTGCAAGGAGAGCCGTCCAGTCACACTGCATTGCGGGGTGGTTTTTGTGGGGGAGAAACACATCCAGCGAAGGACAAAGCAGGGACAATTGCCTTTATTTGATTGGTGACCTCAAGCACGTGCCCCCCCCCCCGCCGGCCCGGGCCCACCCGTGTCCAAAACTAGCCCTGAACGTTAATATTGTGTCTCTCATTGTAACGGCTGGCACTCTTTCCTCAAGAGCAGTGTGTCTTTACAGAGCCCTTCCATCCAGGACGTCTGCCACCCTGTTTCATGTTCTCCCTCTCGAGCAGCTTTCCCGTACAGGGAATGCTGTGCTGAAGAGCAGCAGCTGTTGATTAGTGCACAGCAACCTGGACCCAAGCCTCATATCTCGGGAGGCAAAAGTGAAGGAGAGCTGCAGGAGGGAAGGGACTATACAGCACAGAAATAGCTGAGTTAACTCCTACAGCTGGGGTAGAATGGAATCCAACCGTAACAATGAGTTAATGAGAAATGATAATGGAACTGTGTCTAGCCACTGATTACAAATCATATACTTTAATAATATACAGAATTGTGTATAGTCACTCTCTTCGATTACATAAAACAAAGACGTTTATTTCCATCCTAGCCGCTTTGTTTGAGAATGAAACCAGACTCTATTATACCTAGCAAGGAGGCTTTGCCTTGGCTTCACTTTCTTCTGGTCATTCAGCACTTCAGTGGTGCAAGGTTTACCTTACAAATAGCCCTACCCCCCCTGTACAAAATCCATAAAGCTGTTTGCATTAGAACTGAAGTGAGGCAATAATGGGCGTATTTCTGTTCATCATAGATTTTGTAAGGATTTGGTCTACCCCGAATTAAAAATCTGGGCTTCTCGCAAACTGACAGTGTCCCTTTAACCGTGTCCCGAAGGGGAAAAATATATACATTAGGAGGGTGCCCCTTCTGATGTCTTTATGATGTACAAAGGCAGCCTTATATATTTATTTAATTCATCAAGCATATGTTCGTTTGTTTGAAGCTATTAGAAGTAGCAGAAATATGAAGTCTGGTCATCTCTGCTTTCACTGGAAGACTTGCTGGGGTCTCAGAGAAACGTTTGCCAAGCTTTGTCAGCCTTTGGTGATGGAATAGTGAATAATTAACAGAGAGAACTTTTCTTCTGTTTGTGGGACATTTGTGTTCAACAGGTTTAATAATAAAAACAAGAACAATAGTAATTAATCAGGTTTCAGTTCCTCGGTATTGGGGATGTCCCAATCCTCCAAGTTCTCTAGTGGACATAGTGTAAACAAGACCTCCATTTCTAATGGAGAAATGAAGCAAGTGCATACTTCTTCCCGTGTCCCCACAACTCAAGCACCTTTTAAATATATCATAAAGAAACCAAAAAAGGGCACACACCCAATCTTTGCTTTCCTTTGCAGGTCACCTTTAAGACAAAATCCTCAACCATCTTGCGGCAGAGGTGCCCTCAGATTGGTTCTGCTGTTTATGTGCCCTGAGGGTTTTGAGTTGTTTAAATGTAGAAAGCAAATAAGCGTCCGACCTGGCGTAAACTGTGCAGCCCCACTGATATCAATGGATTTGCACCCACTCAGAGATCTGAAATTGAAATGTGCAGGGAACTCCTCAAAGCATAAGCCGATCAGATAAACTCTGCAGCCTCTCTCTGCAGGATTTTAGGAACGCTGCAGACCGCTGGCACTTACTGATAGTCATTTGTCCAAACCCTTTGATTATCCGAATGAACGTCATGTCCCCTGTTACATTTGTATAACTCAGTTTGCCCTGCTTTGTACAAAACAACTAGAGTCTCATTCGATCACGGCCGACCAAAATAACGGCACTGCAAAGCCGTGCATGGGTCCGTGAAACTGGAATACACTTTGCCAGATTGATTTCTGCAAAGATGGGACCAAGGCGGCTGTGACTAATGTGTATTTATACAAACTGGCTCCTTCCTGCTTAGAAGAAAAATCCGTGCCTGGTCTTTTCCTTCCTTCCATCCTTCCTTAGAACAGATCGCTGGCCTTAAATCTACGCATGCTTGCCCATTTGGGCTGATGTAGGAGTCAGTCATCATTCGTAACAAGCCTACGAGGCAAAGGCGTCTGGGTGTTGCAAGCAAATGAAGGGAGGAACATGCTGTACCAACCTGCCAGTGCTGTGGGTTCACTTATTTCTAAAACAGAGGACGATGGAGACAGACAGAGAGAGAACAGAAAGGGGAGGGGGAGAAAATACATAGTTCATGTTTTCAGACAGTTGATGAAAGAATGATCATTAGAAAGGTGAGTACACACTGATAATAATGCACATGCCGCTGACATGGTTACACAGGACAGACAGGAAGTGTGGTTACCATCGGGAAAAATGACAGCGTCTCTCTCCATACATCCCGACTCACATTTGCTTGTCTACATTTGAAAGACAATTCAGATTAAGGGAGGCTGTGAATTTAAAGCACAATAGCTATTCCTGAATAACTCTGTGCGTGGACATACTTCTTTCAGAATAAGCAAGCTTTGTTCTGGTTTAGCTTAATCCAATTTGAAAATGGATTAAGCTACACAGGAACAAGGCAATCTTATTTCAGAATAAGAGTGTCCACACGTGGAGTTATTTGAGAATAGTTATTCTGGGATAACCCCAGGTGTAGAAAAGCCCCCAGTGATGAGAGTCTACTGCAGAGGAAGCTATATCCTATTCGGCCTTGGGTGTCAGAACAAGTATCAGATAAGTACATGGGATCACAGTGACTGGGGCTGAGGCATAGGGACCAGATTTTCAGATGCCAGGTGACACTGGCAGGTGAACTCAACAGCCAGCAATCTAGGAGGGACTAGGAGACAATACTGAATACTGAACAGGTCGGCTGGCAAGGACTGTGACCATGGAGGTGGCATTTTGGAGGCACGGGCGTGAAGGTGGAAGCGGTTTAGTGAGGTGCAGAACTAAGACGGAGACCACTACAAAGGTATGGAAGGGTCTGCTTTCCTTTTCCAGGCGAGGGGACCCGATCTCTTTCCCAAGGCTGCGTAGTCTAGTGGAACAAGACTGGGACTGGGAGCCAGGCTTACCTAACCCCAGCTCAGCCACTGACTCCTACCCACTCATATGTACTCACTGCATGTCTCAGTTTACCTATCTGTAAAATGCAGGAGACAGTGCCTGCCTACTTCAGAGAAGTGCTGGGAGGAGTCATTCATGTTTGTACAGTGCTTTGGAGACACGAGGCTTTAGATTTAATATCATCATTGGGGCAAGGGGAGGAGTGGGGGGGGGGGAGTTGGTGAAGTGACATCACATTTTGCTCACAGAAAGAGAAAACGGCTCCCTTTAATACTCGGCTGCTAGCAGTATACATCTGTGTGCATTAGTGAATAAGCAGGGTCGGGTTCTTCTAAGCATAAGGGCCTTGTTTATTTGCAGCTTGGACATGAGGAGGAAGCATTGAATTAAATGGCCAGAGTCCACTTCCTCAGGATGGTGGGTTCATTGCTGTGGTAACATCCCTTCTCTTGTTTTGCCTCACACCTCTCTGCAGGCGAGATTCAGATTCACTCTTCCCCCAGAGGACCCAACACAGGCCTATGCCACGTAAGCCCTGAAAGTAAGGCGCCAACAGCCTTGGACTGGCACTTTGCAGGAAGTTGAATTCCACCCTTTGTGAGGCTTGGTGGTTATCCAGCTCCCTCCGTCAGTACCGGCAGCGTCTCCTCACAAAGCACAGGCTCAGCCCCTCATACCTACCGTACAGAATTATACTGGCATTGGTGTTCCCCAGCTTGTTAGTGGCCACGCAGGTGTAGTTGCCGTAATCCTTCTCCGAGACATTGAAGAAGGTCAGCGTGGACATTCGACCTTTGTTCTCGATTCTCACTCCATCCAGCCCATTGGCTAACCTGCGGGGCGAGAAAGACGAAGGGCCGGGCCCCCCAGTGACAGGAGCGATCAATTCCCATCCCCATGCAGTCACACCAGCTATATCTAGGTTAGTGGGGAAAGCCCCACTAGTCCCCAAATCAGGACCTCCCAGCTGGCTGTCACCAAGACACTGGGCTAGCTCCTCGGCTGGTCTAAAGCAGAGTGGCTTTCCTCATAGTGGAGCTATGCCACTGCCCCAAAGTCTCCCCCTCTTCCTGAAGGTTCCCCGGTCCTGGATATTTTCTGCCAGGTTATTGAGAAGGTTCTTCCAGCTAAGGGGACCCCCAGACCAGGCCATCACTGAGGGTTCGTCTACACTGGAGCGGGGAGGTTTAATTTCCAGCCGAGGTGTAGACACCCATGCTAGCTCTGCTTGAGCTAGACTGCTAAACACAGCTGTGAGATTTGGGACCTGGATGTTTTAATTGCAGATCCCGATGCGCCTCCCACAGGATCCTTTACTTAAAGAGACATCTGCAGCAAGATCCCCCCACCCCACCCCCTATAAATATATTAAAATGAAGTGTAATTCTCTCTCCTTCCCGTGCTGACAGATGGCCATCCTGACCCAGGGAATTCAGCACTCCCCATCTGTGCCAAGAATGCAGCCTGGGATCTGCCAGGCCCTGGCAGCTTGTTTAGGTACCTGGTTTCTTCTTTAAACCACTGAAATTCTGCGACAGGGACGGCGGAGGCCTCGCAGCGCAAGATTCCCTTCTGGCCCACCGAGGCACCAGTGTTCTTGGCATTGGAGATGTATGGTGGGTCTGCAGAGCAAAGGGACGTTATTCCGGAGGGAGGGCTGGGGCCCCTGGATACAGTACTGCTGCCATGAGGGGCTCCGGATCCCGAGCACAAGCTGGGCTCAGAGAGACGTGGGGATGAGGAGGGGTGTTCAGGACGGTGAGGGGATGTGGAGCCGTGTTGTTATGAGGCTGGTTGGAACCCAGTCTAGGTTGTGCCCTCCTGGGATGGCGGGGGGGGGGGCACAGATCCCCACCCATGAGCGGCAGTATTAGGCACTGACCCTTCATATAAAGGACACACAATTGACTGCCATTGCTTTGCTCAGCATCTTTCCCCTTCCCTTGTCAACCCACCCCTGAGCCATCTCCTTTCTCCTGTCTCTCCTTCCACCCCTCATCTGCCCCCTTTGGCCTGTGCTCTTCCCCATTTACTTCTGGGGCTCTCCTTTCCCATGTGGGGTGGGAACACAGCACCCCTAATTGTGTTGGGGCAGGGTGGAAATTGGGCTCATAGCAAGAGGGAAAAGCCATGTGTGAGCAGGGACAAAACGAGCCACCCTGCCCCTGAGCCCAGCTGGTGGTGGGGGAGGTGGACCGAAAGCTAGGACAGCTTAGACAGCTGAGGTGGTGGGGCTGGCAGCAAGTATGCCCCATCCAGCAGAGAGGGCCAGAGACGGAGAAGAGCCAGGGACACTCCCAGCACAACGTGGTCACCCCTCCCTGCAAAAATGGCCAATATCTGGCCAACATGGGACAGTCGAGAGGGTGAGCATCTAAGAGCTGTTTGTCGGCCGTCATGAAATGAGATGTCCTAGAAGGGCGGAGGACCACACAGTGACCTCCTGGACCACGACCAACACTCATTGGACTCCTTGTGAGCAGTCTCAGTAAAGCAACCAAAGGCAGAAACGGCCAGGGAGACCAAAGTCTCCTCTCGCCCCCTCGCCGGATCAACACTGGGGCACATTGGTAGGGCAACGTAGATGATATTTGGACTATTGCTACCCATGCCCCATCTCTTGCTCTGGGGACAGAGAGAAAGATTCAGGCCCAGGGTAGACAAGTCAGCACTAGGTCATTCAGAAATGAATAAGGTGAATGCCAAGTGTCAATTCAGATACACATTGAACCTCTGGTCCTCCCACCATCTGCCCCAGACCACATGACTGTGGGAAACACACATTTCACAAGCGAGATACCGCATGCACAGGATGGAAACTAGGAGCCTGCAGAATGAGAAGAGACGCTCCATTGTAGGGTGCTGTCCCTATGTCCCTAATCCCACCTTTGGATGCGGATTGGACGAGTCCCCTAAATAGGGACACTTTGAAGGCACAAGGCTCTTTCCTTCCTTCAGGACTCCTCTGATTCATAGCCACGTAGTTCGCACGCCTGAGTGGGCTTACTTTAAAGTTCTTCTAATCTGATCGGGAAAATTCCCTGGTTTCTAAGTAGCTTTGCATCTTTTAAACCCATTCTGTTGTGCCGAGAAATTTACAAACAGGCCAACACCTGTGTAGGACCTAGACAAAAAGACGAGTTTGGAGAGATGATCCAAAGCCTGAACAATGTATGCGAAGTCTTGCCTCTCCCCTGCACTTGGAAGGGTTGCTATAAAGTGTAACCCTGAGCCAAACCAATCCTGGTTTTGTACGCTCAAAGAATAGACCGACTGCTCCAGTTTCACCCATCTCCGCTAAACCCACTTCTCCTTGTGTCAGGTGTGAAGAGGATTACAACAGTGGAGCCCTGATTGAAAAAGAAAAGAGCACCAGGTAGCAGAGGAGTAGATGCAGCCCTTCATCCCGAAAATACTCAGGTTTTTTTAAGCTTCCCAGAGGCGCAAAAGAATTCGAGTCACTCCTGAAATGCCGACAAGCTTTGCCACTCCAGCTTTTCTGCCTTGGCATGTCCTCTGAAGTCTTTAAATCGTCTGGGCTCTAAATTCCTAACCATGCTTCTAAAGAACAAATTGTCCTAAGATGTAAATGCTTTAAGCTTAATGAAATGTATATATGTGATTTTCTTACAGCAATTTAGTGGATATAAAAGCTCTACAAGCTCCTTCCTAAAGGGAAGGATCTTTAATGTGCTCTGTGTGTGGTGAGCCACTAGAGATTTTTCCCCCCCTGAATTGCTCCTCAGGAAAAGGGTATTACCATTTATGTTCCAGCTATAAATAGTCTTTAAGGGATGCTGACGTAGATGTTATCTGCTTTATTTTTTTTTCAGGAGTTTATGGTTACAGTTCAGCTGTTCTAACACACACGCACACCCCCGCCGGCACTGGAATACTAGGATCTCGGCTCTGTTTCCCCATCATCTTGTGCCTTTCATCATCTTCTAGACCCCTGCAAGGCGGTGAAGAATCAAGACCCTTGGATCTCAACGCTGGCAGGTAGGGAAAGGAAAGTCACACTTCAGGAGCAGCCGTCCCCACTCAGGGCACATCAGCACTCTGAGCCAGGGGTACAATTCCCAGCTGAAGGAGACGTACATGTACTAGGTCTGATCCAGCTTGCATGCTAAAAATAGAGTGTAGCCACGTTGGTGGGAGTGGCGGGAGAGGCGAGCCGCCCTGAGTACGTGCCCAGTGCCTTGGATGGGATCATACTCCAGCAGCTAGCCCCTCCCGGCATTCGGACTGCCATGACTACACTTGATTACTAGCATGCTCGCTCGATGGGAGCTGGTATGGGCATGTCTCCCTCAGCCGAGAATTGCACCTTCAGCTTGAAATGTAGACGTACCCTTCGATGGCGTGGGAGACACAACAGAACACCAAGCTGTGGAACTTTAAGCAGACTACATTACAGCCCCCAGTGTTCAGGTAAAAGCCAAAATGATCTGTGTGAAAAGTCCCCGCAACTAGCCTGAGCCCAGTGTTGTCTGAAGCCAGGAGGCGGGATCAGGGAGTGTGTCGTGCAGAGTCGTGCCCTACTTACAGTTTACGGTGACTTTTACTCTCCGGATGTCTGGAGCGGCCACGTCATTGACAGCGCTGCACTCGTACTCCCCGGACTGATCCCGGGTGATCCCAGAGATCTCCAAGTACTCGTCTTCGCTCACAAAACCCCGGCCTGCAAGGGAGAAGGTGCAAATGGAAAGATCAACCCACCAGCCTGCCACCTCCACTCCCGTTGGTCACTGGGAATAAAATCTGATGGTTTGATGGAATGGAGACCTCCAGGCCTGATCCGGATCGGTTACATTGGGGTAAATCTGGGGGCGTCAGGGGGTTTAACTCAGGATTAGGCTGGTTTATCTGGGATCAGAATCAGGCTGTCTGAAACACTCACAGGACTCCAGGGGCCATATCTCACTGCAGCTGTAAAAGAGGTAAAATCCTGGTGGTCCTTCATTGTAAAACATTATTGCCTACATAAGAACCCTGGGACTGAGTCTCCGCAGATCTGGCTCCAGAAGCATATAGGGGTGCTGCATGAGCTGCAAGGGGCCAAAGAACAACTCCTCCAGGCTGGAGCAGTGCCAGGGCCAATGTAAGCATGTTGGGGCATGGCGGGGGTCACATTTGGGTTCGGTGGGGGAGCAGCCACAGTGCTTTGGGCTACAGCTATTTTGGGCCGGTGCATGGACCACAGGCAGCTCTGGGAAGGCTACAACCCCAGGAGCTGCTCAGATTTATCCTAGGGGACATGTTCCCAAAGCAGTGCAGAAGTAAAGCCAACCCCTTCCCTTTGGTCCATGCTGCATATGTCATGAGCTGCAGCACAGAATCTATCCCATATTGTAAAATAACCCTAATCTGTTCTATTGACAATGCCACTGATTATTATACCTGAAATACATGCAAAGAGCTCCTCAAGTTGTTGCCATGTATGCAGTTTGCTCACTGTTCTGCATTTCAATCCGCTGGGGCAGTGATATTAAACCACTCAGTATCATTTCCCATGGTCATTCCTTAGCACCTTGCTGTTGAGTTTGGGTTCCCAGTGTTGCACGGGGCAGGTGTCTCTCCCCCATCAAAAAAAAACACCTTTCCATTGTTTTGGGGGCTGGGGACTAAATTATTATTCACAAATGGTCTCTTGGTGAAAAAATGGGACTGGGAGTCAGGTCTCCTGGATTCCACTCCAGCTCTGCCATCCATATATTGTGCAACTGTTGACTGGGATGATTTAGTTGGGGTTGGTCCTGCTTTGAACAGGGGGTTGGACTAAATGACCTCCTGAGGTCTCTTCCAACCCTAATCTTCTATGATTCTCCACGTCTCTCCACCAGGACCCCCCAGGACTCAGCTGAAATACCCCCTGCTATCCCAGGCATAACACACACATGCACAGAGCTTTGCCACTGCACTTCCTTCCTGATTTGCAGCCCCCGACTGCTATTTCAGTTCCGGGCCTTTTCAAAGCAGCTGTGTGAAACTGGTCGGTGGGGTAGGGAAAAATGTCTGCCAGAGACTGGGAGAAGCGTCTACTGAAATAATGTCACATCCCCAGACACTGACCAAGCCTGTCTGAGTTTAACCTGTAAGGATCAAAGCATAAGAGATCGCTGCACAATCATTTTCATATGCCAGAATATAAATATTAGACACAAAACCACATACAAGAATCACTGCCCTTACGACAGCTCCAGTACACTTTGCTGACATTAACACCAGGAATACCAAGCGTTTCAAGCCAGGAAATAACAATATCGACTGCAAAACCTCCTTGCTTGGAAGACAAAACCATCCCCAGAGAGGGAAAGTCACAGAGTGTGGGTTAGGGACGGTGGAGTGGGAAGACGAAAAAATAATGATGGGGGGAAAGATGAAGTGGATGAGTGACGGCAACACTTTGTAAGTGAGTCTTCTTTGTAATGATCCCATAATCCTGGGGTCATTATGGACCCGGCCTATCCGCCCAGCGATCTCTATAAAAGATGATTGGAAGCGAAAGAAAATAGATTCGACGAGCCAGCGACAGAAATACATAAATAACCAAGGTGATTTCTTTCTGTGGAGAAGGGGCCTCGGGAAGAGATAAGCCCAGCTCGCTACATTAGAGAGATAAGGATCTACAAGGATACAAATGGGTGCGCTCAGACGGAGGCTGCGTGACAGACATGGGGCCATCAATCATGAAGTGGTGGGGGTCACGCCGGAGCCGGGATCTGCTGCGGCAGAGCGGCCAGCGCACGCCGGGTCGTGCGCCATGCCCCCCTGCGTCTGGCTGTATAACAAATACGCTGGGGTCTCTCAGGGACGGGGCTGAACTGGAATGTGCTGCTTGGTGTTTGCAGCACATGGCTCATCCCTGCCTCGCTGACTGACTGATGCGAAGCAGGGCCCCAGCCTCCCTTAGGATAAACAAAGGTCACTGGTGCCTAGCGCTGCTCATTGGTCTCCTTTCATCAGTACTAAATCCACTGGACTCTAGCCGGTCTAACGCTGCTTGACTAACGCCTCCCTCCAGCTACCCACTCCACTCCCAGGCAGACACCTGTTCAGGGGAGCTGAGCTGAGAGGTGCAAGTTTCTCTTCCCATCTCACCCAAGTGTAGGGTGACCGGACAGCGAGTGCAAAAAATTGGGAAGGGGGTGGGGGGTAATAGGAGCCTATAGAAGAAAAAGCCCCAAATATCGGGACTGTCCCTATAAAATCAGGACATCTGGTCACCCTACCCAAGTGATGCCCTCTAAGGCCCCTCCTTGAACCACTTGAGGCCCTTCAGCAAGAAGGCCTCCGAGGTGAAGCATGACCCAGAAGCATGACGGGAAAGGGGAAGCACAGAGCCTGCTGGCTGCAGCCTTCCCTTTGATCCTAAGAACGGCCCTACTGGGTCAGACCAATGGTCCATAGAGCTCTGTATCCTGTCTTCTGACAGTGGCCAGCGCCAGCAGTGTCAAAGCGAATGAACAGAAGAGGGCAATCCTCAAGCGATCCATCCCCTGTTGTCCGAGCCCAGCATCTGGCATCCTGCGGCACTGCCATACAGGGGCCTTTATGCCTCTCGCCCAGATACGCACTATTCTGGAGAGCCTGGGCTGTTGTCATCCCGCGTTTAGCACCAATAACAGCCTGCACTTCCTCTGCTCCGGTACCTGACGCAATGTGAAAAGGGAGATGCCTTGGGGGGCACGACTACAGAGGCCTAAAAGGGGGGCACAGCGGTGGAGAGAGACACAGTGAGGTGAGAGGGGGAAGGCAGGAGTTGTGGGGGGGGAAGGAGGGGAGAGAGGGATGTTGGGGGGGGGGGCTCTCCAAGCTACCAGCCATCTGCCCTCCCCTCCCCATTTGGGAATCTAATTGCTGCAATGGAGGAGTGGATTCCCCTCGCTAATTAAGTGTGGGGCCGGGAACTGCGGTGCATTTTGTCCCTGTCGGAGGCCGGAGATGCCACCACCACGCCGGAGTTAATGAAAAATGTGATAAACCCACTGTTTCATTTCGCCTTAATTAATCCCAGGGATTGGATTGTGCTGAAGTCAGCCTGGGTTGGAGAAAGCGCCCTGGGGTCAGCATCCTGCTGGCTGGCGGCGCGAGAGGAGGCTCTTTGGCTGGGGTGTGGGATGAGCGGGAGCATCTCTGACTGCAGCAGCTGTGACTGGGCTTTGCAGAGCTCCCCTCCCTGCTGCTCACGAACTCCCCCCCCACACACACACTCTCCTGTTGCTGCCCGGGTGCTCTGTCTCCTTTCCCAGAGCCGCAAGGTAACCCTAAAGCCAATGTGTGACTGTGATGGGAGCTGTTACTCTGGTGAGGAGGAGGAGAAGATTCAGGCACCCAACACGTATGACCCTGCCCTCCTCAGAAGAAACGTGGAGGCATGCCCTGCCGCAGACAAGCACTCCCATCCACACCCGCTGCTAGTCGCCAACACCCTGCCTCCTCTGATACTCTCTCACACAGGTGGGCTGTGCAAAAGTGCCCGAAAGGTCAACAGTTACAGTCCGGGAGGGGACAGAGCCTTTCATTCTCATGGAGAACCAGTGCAGGGGATCAAGCTCAAGAGCTCCAGCAATGTGGCACGGGGTGGGAGAGGAAAGAGACGATCTCTCCAGCCATGTGGCCAGGGGTGGGGTGGGGAGCGGGCAGGTCCCAGGCAAATGGGCAGGTCCCAGTAACTTATTTAGATTGCAGCTCTTTGGGTCAGGAACCACATTTTTGTTCTGTTTGTACAGCACCTAGCACAATGGAGTCCTGGTCTAATACAAACAGTAATAACAATGAATAAAATGCATGGTAGGTTGAAAGCAACACCTTCAACTCCACCAGGCGGCAGCTGCAATGCAGATCCAGCAGGTGCTTTAAAAATGGGCATGTCCTTAATAGAGGGGGGTTCATATTCCATTAACCGAAGGCTGCCCCTAGTGCTTTCCAGTGGGTAGAACAGAAGACTGTGAATAAGGGCTCCTGGGTTCTAGCTCCAGCCCTCTCAGACTTGTGTGGGTTTAGGTAAGTGGCTTAACCTCTCTAGAGACAGCTCTTCCTCGGGGGTACTACTAATGCTCTAATTCATACGCGTGTGGTGGTGGTGGGAATTCAATACAGCCCTTTGAGATGCTAGCACGCAATGGGTGACATAATTGCAAAGTCTTCCTGGCAAGGCAGCCCCAGTGCTGCAGATTAATTACATCTGTATGACTTTTCCAGCCAGCCAGCCAGATGGAAACAGGATATAGCTAAAGACACTAGAAGCCCAGAATCAATACAGTGGGAGAAAGGCAGGGGCAGCCCAGCTGGGGGAGATGAATATCTTGAATGATACGCCCAGATGCAACAGGGTCTTTGCAAACCCAGAAGGTCAGCTGGCTCCGGCTGGGCAGTAAATGATGCGGAAAGGCTGCTAGGGTGGATCCTCAGGTTTAGGATGCTAGGAGTCACTACTGAAAGAGGCAGCTCTACTCCATACCACCCATCCCCCTGTCCTTATAACACTAACCAAAACTGATGGGGCAAGTGTTTCCAATTAGTTAGACCAACTCCACTGAAGCAACATCAGTACAAGAAAGGAGGATTTTTCCCACCAAGACTCAACCAGCCTTCCCTGAGACTCAAGTAAAGCCTCAGATGGATTCTTCTGCGGCCTGTTCTACTTAGTTGGTCCAAAGTCCGTGTCCAGCATATGGA